GTTCCAAAATGTGTAAATCTGCTCTGGAATTTTGTGGGTTCTAGCATGCCCTGTTATACTCTGTGGTACTATTGTTCTTTTTCTTCTGTAGTGTTTACAAATGGCTAAAAAAATTGTCTTAAAAAAAATCTATTAGTTATATTTACAACATACATACTGAGGATGCTATAAAGAGGCTTCATTTGAAAATCAATCATCCTGCTGTCTTAAATAAAGCAAAATAATTGAATTATTTTAATATATTATGTGTGTGTCTTTGTCCTCTGTGTGTAACTGTGTGTGTGTGTCAGTGTCCTCTATGTGTAACTGTGTGTGTCAGTGTCCTCTATGTGTAATTGTGTGTGTCAGTGTCCTCTGTGCGTAAATGTGTGTGTGTTTCAGTGTCCTTTGTGTGTAACTATTATGCGTGTATTATATTTTCATTTTGTGACTTTTATACTTCAAATTTATAGTTCATACACAATATTCACATTATGGCATATTTGTTTTAAAAATATATTTTGCTAGCGTTAATCAAACTTGTTTTCCAATATGGGATTAACTTAAAATAGTCTACATGGTCTATTTGGAATTTAAATCAATACAAATTACTTTCTCGAGGCAGGGTATTTAGGAATATTCTTTAAACCTGCAGGGGTACTTCTCCGTAAAAGGTTGAGAAACACTGATGTAGTCCACAATATCTGGGGTGCCGAAAGTTCCCTATCTTTTAACTAGACCCTTTCAACACCAATAGCCATCATTCACAGAGGTTCAAACCTCACTTTTCTGGAAATTTAACTTTGAAATAATCAGATCTTTCTGGCTTTCATATCTGCAACTCTACAACGCTACATAATTTGGTTTCACATACCACAAGAAGGATAAAACATTAGATTGTGGTTGCTGTATTGCTTCTGCACATGAGATCTGTCTGCATTTTGGTTTCAGACTGCTGCTGAGGTTAGGATCGCTCTGATATGCCATATTATATAGGGTCCCTGTGTAATGATACACATGAGCTACAACTTAGAAACTTAGAATGTGATGGCAAATAAGAACCATTCGGCCCATCTGTCCAATTTTCTAAATACTTTCATTAGTCCCTGGCCTTAGTTTATATTTGAACGGGACTAAGTGTAGGGCAAACTATTGACGTTTTGTCTGTTCTTGGTGTTATCTCTTTTAGCTTCTTGCTGCAAATATGCAAAACACTCTGTGGTTGGAGATGCATGCAATACGCATGTATGCCATCTGTAGGTCTGTTGTGTTCTGTATTTCTGCCCATTGATAAAACTGTGTATTCACTTGGTGCCAATGCCTAGTAGATTATAACTGAAATTAATATATTACTCTACATGACTTTTAACAGCTGTCTGCCTTATGGAACTAAAATGGTCAGCCAGTTTAAAAGTAGTGGCTGAGATAGTCTGTCTTTGCTGACTATCCTGTTAAAGATAATTAAGGAGAGGTTTGGAAAAGTATGATCACATGCCTAGGCTTTCTCTGTATTCTAAGATCTTCCTGGTTGTACAATCAGTATTTCTATAATAAGCACCTGTACATGATGCTCTGCAATATGGAGGCAAATGGTGTGATTCCAATCCCTGCTCCAATCAGCACAGCATGTTCTGATGTGAAGATATGACGAGTTGGTGTCCCATATGGTCCATCAACGTAGCACTGTAATTAGCAGAGAAAAAAGACCAATGACAAACAGAACATCTGCCATATTATGTAGGGTCCCTATGTAATAATACCAATGAGCTACAACTTATCTGAGACTTGAGTGGCAAACTATTGATTAGAGATTATTTAGTATATCACCCCATCAGGGCTGACCCAACACATTGTGCTGCCTGGGCCCAAGGAGGAAATGTTGCATCCCCCCAAAAAATGACACCCACCAAAGCCTGCCCATATCCATTATGTTATGCTGTGTGTGTAGTGCATACAGTGTCTGTGTAGTGGATGCAGTGTGTGAACTGGGTGCAATGCGTGTAGTGAATGCACAGTGTGTGTGTACAGTAGATTCACAAGGTGTGTGTATAGTAGATTCACAGTGTGTGTGTATAGTAGATTCACAGTGTGTGTGTATAGTAGATTCACTGTGTGTGTGTATGTATATATAGTGGATGCAGTGTGTATAGTAAATGCAGTTTGTGTGTGTATAGTTGATGTAGAGTGTGTGTCCCTTACCCAACCTCTCTTTGTGTCCCCTCAGCTCTTCTGTGCCTGCTTGTGGCCCTTCAGCCCTTTGTGTCGGCTTGTGTCCTCTGAGCCCCTTTGTGTCTGTCTGTGTCCCCTAAGCCGCTTTGTGTTTGCTTGTGTCCCCTCACCCCACCATGGGTGTCTCCCTCCCAGCTCTGGTCTGTTTCTGCCCCACAGCCCTTGTCTGTTTGATTACTGGTTAAAAGATGTATACCATACAGTAAAAAAAAAAAAATATATATATTGGGTCATCAACATTAAGGTGCTTACTTTTATATTACACAACCGGTGATTTTCACCAACCTTGAAGGAAATCTGTAAAAATTGAAAGGTAATTACATTTCTAGTCATAAAGAGTGTGCATTACTGTATCAGAATAATTTTCCTATAGCGGGCTTTGACATCCCGCTGTGCTGACCAAGTTACAGGTAAAAAAAAAATCAGATTGTAAGACTATGGATGCACATCCCCATACTGTGTACTGCTGAGAACTGACAATGGAATTGCAAAATCTAGAGCCAAATAGCAAAGTTGCCAAACTTATTTTATTATACTAAATTATACAATTCTCTTGAAAGTTTCCCGAAATTCAAAGATACACCCTCTACTCTTTTTGTGCTATTCTACTGCACCAGTTTACTGTTAGATGAGATATTGTGTATATATACAGTGGGTAGGGGCTTGTTGTGAACTCCTGGGTTATCTGTAATCTTGCAGTTATTGCACTAAAAAGTGACATGAATTTTATATTCTGATAATAGATAAGAAGATTATGATAAAATAAAAATTACACTTTTTAAATATTTTTACTGAACTCCTTAAAGAACACTCCAAACACCATCACCACAATAGTTTGCCGAAGTACGATGTTGCTGTTGTTGTTTTTTTTTTTTTTTTTAATGGGTGTTTTAATAAGTAGTAAGGTATAATAAAGAGAAGTATAATGAGATCAAGTGAATCTCACACAAAAATGCATATTAAAATTGTGCATGGGCAAATGCATGAAAGAAAGGGTGTGTGATGGCAAATATAAGAAAATAACCAAAACAAAATCAGTAATATACAAGAAGCTGGGGTGGGAGAAATAATTAATTGGTCTATGGCAAGAAAGGTTAAAAATGACAGCACCAAATCTAAGCTATAGGAAGGACGGAACATGTTCAAATGGCATCAGTTCCAGTCCTGTCCTGTCTCAACGTTCCAGCTCAATAAAGATCCTTTCTCAAAATTAATATAATTATCACCATCATTGTTTAACTAGAGAAATACAAACTGTAGTGACATAAAAAATAGGAAAGTCCCAGTAACATACCAATCAAAGTTCCTCGATAGCTACTTAAATAATCAGTGTCAGATGTGTTCCTAAGTATTGTTAGGAATCACCTAACCCTAGCTAGCAGTGAATCAGATGTTAGACTCAGAGGTTAAGGTAAGTGTAGCAAAAAATTACAAAATAAAAGGAACAACTAGAAAACTTACCAAAATCATATTCAGAAAGAAAGAAACCAATTAGAACCATGACAGGACATACATTTCAGGATAGAGGGGACTAAATGTAAATTGCATCATACGATATCACTATGATTTAGTATAGTTTGGCAACTTGCCTGGGTCCTGCTGGATGCACGTGGCCGCATCTAGTCCTCCCCAGCAGGGTAAGCCAGATTTCTCTTTAGAGTACAGCACAGCTGATACAGGAGACCACTCGTTGGCATGAGAATGTGCTATATGGTCTTACATAGTCCTACATGGCTATGCTTTGCTCTGTAGAGCTAACTGGATTCTCTTGGTATGAAGCCAGGGCACTCCTGGCACCTTAACCACTATAGCAGGTTGTAGTGGTTATGGTACTGTGAGTGTTCATTTAACAAGAAATACAATATAAAAAAATGTGGACCTCTAAGATAATTAGTTATATTGATGGGGTTATTGAGTCAAGTGTCAAAGTCAATTAAATGACAATTCAGAGAGAATATAAAAATATTCATTATCATTAAGTCTGAAAAGAACTACCAGTAAAGTATGAACTAGTAACCAGTAAGGTGTGCATTTTCAGGAATTGAAAGTGAGGTTTTAGAGCAACCCAAAAACCTAGCTGATATAAAGATTTTTCCAATTCAGCAATGTTGGCCTATGATTTTAAATTCTCTTTAAATTTACTTAAATACAAAATGATTCAAATTTAAGTGGAGACAGCTGTTTGTCCATTTAATCCATTGTCATGCAGTTCAGAAATTGAGAAAATCAGTACTATCAGGGGGCGGAGCCTAGCTTCCTAGCAGAGTGGACGTGCTGCACAATAGCTCCTGCAAGCCAGCCACTAAAACGGGGGATATACCCCAAATCATCGCGCCCACACCGCTGGGAGTGTGACTACAGAGTGGGGGAGACCCAGGAAAACGTTTTAATACTAATCTTGTACCCGCAACTCACCGGGTCCCCACGATTCCAACCTGAGGCCTAGCTGCGACCGAGCCAGGGAGAGGCGGCCGCTCTCCTGGTTGGTAACCTCGCAGACGGAAACCTCACCGTACTCACCTCTAACCCCCCCCCCTCTGGACCGGCGGGGGTTATCCCGGTCCTCGCTGGGTGGCACAGGCAGCTGGCCAATACTACCTCCCAACGCCATGAGGCAGCAAGGTACATCCAAGATGGCGGAGGATGGCGGCTGGCACAAGCGATCACAAACCCTATGCACCAAACATCCCCAACACAGCCTGCAGCGCCTGGACACTCACCTCAGCCAACACGGGGCTAAACAACAAACCGAACAACTAGCAGCCCAGATGCCGCGGTATGCAGAAGCCCACACGGGTGAAAGATGCAGAAAGCGCAGGGGGACCGCGACAACGGCTTACCGTGACCTGCTGGAAGGCACACGCGACTACCCCACAGAGGGAATTGGCTGACGACATCGCGGCATGGCAGGGCTTGCGGCCACCGCTGGAACTGTGATTCTAAGCGAGCAGACGGCCACACACTGAGCCCTCCAAACCAGAGTGAACTCTTTATACCTTATCCTGAAGCACATGCCTAATAGTTATACTCTGCATCTGAATCTGGTACTTTCCTTTTTGAGCCATACCATGCATAGCTGCATTATATCTGCACCCAGTGATACCGTAACCCAGCTTTAAATCACTAATTTGTCAAACCTACTTTATCAATATGCTGACACTGCCAGTTTCATAGCATGTTGTACAACATATACCTAAAGCTTGGCTAGTCTAATGTTAATCTGTTACTCCACTCTATGCTTAACCCTCTTGTAGAATGTCTCTTCCTAAATGTGGCATAGAGGGATGTAACTGCTATCGTTTCTGTTCTCTATATTAAAAAATTGTGCATGTCAAATATACAGTACAGCTCAGCCAGAGGACTGCCTTTGGGGCACCTCAGGCCTATATGTCATTCTTTAATGCACTGCAAAAATAAAAAATTAAAAAAAAAAAATCAGTACTATCATTACTCTCCCCAACAGAAGTTTTCCAACTAAAGTTGCTCTGAGAGCACGGAGTACAATACTCTAAGAAGGCCACCAATCTCGTCCATCTCAAGTCTTGCACAGAACATCTAGATAATCCATACAATTATTGTTAGAGTGTATTGTACAAAATCTCAGCAGCAAAATGTAATATTCTATGCAGTCCAGATTATACCCACCAGAAGTGCCATAAAGGCAATTTATAGAAAGCAAGTTACCATATTCTTGAAAAGTATAATCTGCTATATGGTGACATCAACATTGCCAACTGTTTGTTATTGTGATTTGTTTAGATAGATATTTCTGATTCACGAACCTCACGAACTTGTGAACCAGCTACATCCAAACTGACGCGGACATCCTCCCCCACTGCATTTTTACATGGTCGGTAGGAGGTCAATTCAATAAGATCATCTGCATTAGAAGCAATTCCTCCAGAAGAACGGGGTGAGTTGAAAAGAGACTCCTGGTTGAAAAAAAACAAAACAAGAAAGTTTTAGATACAATTACTTTACATAATATCATTACTTTTATATGTGGAGTGGACTGTTTACATAGGCAGTTTATGTATATTTAAGTTTATAGTCTAACCACAATACTTTAGAATAACCCATTTTTTTGTGAGTGCTCACACCTGGCTCTGATATCTGCTCTTCTTCAGATTTCGGGTCAGTCGTTTATCATTCTGACTCTTTACAAACTCTGTTTTACTGATGTATTCATACAAGCTATTAGTCCATTGGCCAAGTGATCGGATGTGAAGCCAGAAGGTATCTACATTGAATAAGGACAAGACACCTGGTTATTTCAAGGATGTGGACATATCCCAAATAAAGTGTCTACTCACCCAGTTTACTCAAAGGGACATTCATACATAAAAAAACATTGGCTCAGACCACTTTAATTAACTAACTAACACATTATTGCTAGTACATAAAATCAAATATCACTTCAGGGAGGGAATTTATGATGTTGGCACTCCTCACGTGTTAACACTTTTCATATTTTTGAGGTTGAAATCACAAAGTTTTTGATGATCCCATTACAGTATTGATAATTGTACTTTCGCATGATTGTGATCATTGAAACATAAATGTTTTACATAGGTATACGAGCATATGTTGCAGATGTGGCCTCTTATGGGATGTGAGAGAAGCATCATTTGGACGAGGTAACATACTAATACTACGGAAGATGATCTAAACTTTTTTATACACTTACCTTCCTGCTCTGGGGCACTGCTGATGGTGAACGGGTGCCACTCATACTTGGCAATGGCTGGTATGTTTAAGTAAATGAAGTCGCCAGGCTTGTATTGGAAAGACAGCGGTCTCTTAATAACTAGATGTGTCACCTTCAAGGCAAAAGTAAGAAAACATGTACAGATTAGAGTATGTGCATCTATAAATTTATGCAAACCTAGTACACAATGTTTCTGACGTAGTTTGATCCTGAAGTTAGCCTTGGCTGGTGAATTCTAATAAGAATAAGGTCCTTGCTATGAGAGACTTGGTTTGAGTATCCCTGACAATATCTGGTGGCCACTTGAATGTTAAATCCTTGTCAGGTATAAATTATGAGATTTGTAAATCAACAAAATGTAATTAACCATGAATAATAATATAATCAGGCATTTATCATTATTAGAGGTTATTGTTGAATGTCTACAGTCTAAGTGGCAATGTTCTACAGAGATTATAATGCTTAATATATTTAGTGCCTTAGCACATTTGTGATTTAAACTGTTGGATTATAATGATTGTCTGCAGAATTTAATATGTTGATAATTACTAATCGCCATAATTTAAAAAACTGAGGACAACAGCTCATAGTAAGTAAAAACATAGAAACATAGAATGTGACGGCAGATAAGAACCATTTAGCCCAATTTTCTAAATACTCTAATTAGCCCCTGGCCTTATCTTATAGCTAGGATAGCCTTATGCCTATCCTATGCATGCTTAAACTCCTTCACTGTGTTAAAGGATCACTATAGTGTCAGGAAAACAAAGCGATTTTCCTGACACTATAGTGCCCTGAGGGTGGCCCCACCCTCAGGGTCCCCCTCCCGTGGCACTGAAGAGGTTAAAACCCCTTCAGTTACTTACCTTATTCCAGCGCCGAGCTCCCTCGGTGCTGGTTACCTCTCCTCCCCGTCCGACGTCACTGAAGCCAAATGTGCATGCGTGGCAAGTGCGCGCTCGCATTCAAAGTGTCCGCCTCTGGTGGCTGTCCGGAAGACAGTCACTAGCGGCTGGATTAACCCCAAATGTAAACATAGCAGTTTCTCTAAAACTGCTATGTTTGCATCTGAAGGGTTAAAACCTGAGGGACCTGGCACCCAGACCCCTTCATTGTGTTGAAGTGGTCTGGGTGACTATAGTGTTCCTTTAACCTCAGCTGGAAGGCTATTCCATGCATCCACTACCCACTCAGTAAAGTAATACTTCCTGATGTTATTTTTAAACCTTTGCCCCTCTAATTTAAAACCTCTTGTAGTAGTTTTTCTTCTTTTAATTATAGTCTCCTCCTTTACTGTGTTGATTCCTTTGATGTTTTTAAATGTTTCTATCATATCCCCCCGTCTCGTCTTTCCTCCAACCTATCCTTTAACCTTTCCTGGTAAGTTCTGTCCTGTAATCCATGAACCAATATAGTAGCCATTCTCTGAACTTTCTCTAAGGTATCAATATCCTTCTGGAGACATGGTCTCCAAGTGAGGTCTCACAAGTGTTCTGTACAATGGCATGAGCACTTCCCTCTTTCTACTGCTAATACCTCTCCCTATACAACCAAGCATTCTGCTAGCATTTCCTGCTGCTCCATTACATTGTCTGCCTACCTTTAAGTCATCAGAAGTAATCACCCCTAAATCCCTTTCCTCAGATGTTGAGGTTAGGACTCAATCATTCTATACTCTGCGCTTGGGTTTTTACGCCCAAGATGCATAAGCTTGCACTTATGCACATTAAATGTCAGTTGCCACCCGGACTGATCTCCCTTGGAGGGGAGTAATACTCATCTTACCATGGCCTAACGCATACTCTGTTTGACTTACTAGAGTCATATGCCTATGTTTGTTGTTTATAATTTTTATTTTTACTGTTAGTTTATTGACTCAAACGCTACCAAACAGTCCACAGAGGCACTCACTGGTAACTAATTTACAAGGCGCTCCAAGCTGGTCCCTTGGTTACCCCCCCCCCCCTCACACCCCACCATTCTCTGGGGTTACAGAGCCTCTAACTCCCTGAACTAAATCACTTGCCACGAGTATGCAACACATACAAGAGAACCTTCCCATCTGCCCCAGGTAGACTGCCTAATAAGATCCATCACCGACTCCAACCCATGTAAGGGTTTGCGACAGTGGACCACTTTACCTGACCTTTATACATGGTATATATGTTCTACCCATTTTGGTTTTAGCTCAAATGCAGTCTACCTATACAGGCTTTAAATTGCCCCATAGGTGCCGTCTAATAACAGGTCTCCTCTATTGAGGCGATGTAAGCCACTTATCTCTTTCACCCTCTACTTAAAATGGGAATGATCCTTCACATAGCAACTCCCACAGTCCATCTAGGCCACAATGTAACGCCATTGATATACCATGTTCTTTACCGCTATGTGGACTGGAAACTCTCTAGCAAGTGTATCGCTAGAATGCGCTGTGCAGCTACGATGCCCTACAAATCTGCTTGTTCATATATATATTATGAAATGTGCTTGTTTTATCCTGCCTGCAACTTTAAAGCTTTATGTACTGGATCGCCTGTCATACGCTTGTGGGGCGTGACATTACTGTTCGTCTATCTGTGCACTTAAAAAAAATAATTTAAAAAAAAAATTGTCAGTTGTCACAGCTCTGACCACTTTTCTAGTTTTCCTAAATCATTTGCCATTTGGCTTATCCCTCCTGGAACATCAACCCAGTACACCTACACGTGATAGAAAACTGTTATCTTCTTACCCTTCTCAATCAATCAAAAAGGAATTCAGCTTTCCATTGAAATTAAAATAAATAAAGAAATAAACTCATTTGATCCAGGATTCAAAATTATAACGTGTTGGTTAAAAGTATTTGGAAATAGAAAGAAATCTATGGTAAACAGTTGGAGAGAAGCATAACCCTCTACTTCTAAGAAAAGCAGCTCACTTACTGCGCTGTGTATAAATTGATTACTGTCGGAAATAATTAACAGCACAACAAAAGGATGAAATGAGAGACCCTGAAAGGTTGTACAGTTGCCATAATCTCACTACTCGACATTTCTCTTTCCCTACTTGCATTTCTTTACTCCTGCCAAGCATGCAATTGCAAGAAACATTTATTGAATAAAAACAAGGAGACATGCTCACACAAACTCTTAAAAGCAACCTTCCAATTACTTATATCACATTTTTTAAACAAATCAGAAGCTGTTCGTAGACAAGCAACAAGTACTGCCTGTAAGAAATTACCAAATTGAAGAAAATTATTCCAGCACAACCTAATGAAGCAGTATCCCTCAATTCAAGTGTTCAACGTGTAGAAAAGCAATGTTTCAACTGCAAGCTTGATGAAGTCCCCCTTTCAATTTTAAATGGGTACTATCACTTCTCTGGAATTTGTATCACATAATAAAACATTAAAAATGATCTGGAAATTGTGTTTTCAAATTGCGTTTTCTTTAACAGACTAAGCATTAGTAAAAAATAAAAGTATTTGTTAGTGAACAATCCATGTTCATTTTAAATGTATCTATTTAGCAACTGACATCATAATCCAGTTCAGACATGGAAGAGTCAAGAATGAAAAAAATAAAGAGAAACATTGTCCTCTCCTCTGTATGATCTCTCCATGCTGACTGCCAGGTAAAAAAGGACAGAGTATCTAACAATGATTGACAGGGGGCTAAGATGGTGGTACCTAGGTGCAGGTTAAAGTGGTGTGGGTGTAGAGAGGGATTTAGTAGAGGGGGTGCTATGGTTTAGTAGATGGGGATGCTGGGGTTCTTTTTATACTGTACTTTTCAAAAGAAACCTACGTTTCTATTAATATTTTAGTTTGTTTTTGTTTTTTTTTGCGGCCCACATAATCTTAAACCTTGTTTATTTGGCCCTTGCTAGACTTTAAGTTTGACATGCTTAATGTAAGCGATATCACACCATAAGATCAGCGTGTGTATGGTTTATGTATAAAACTATATGTTGTGAAATGTGATGAGTCTTGATAATCACAGTATCCAGGTATTTCCGTTCTAGCCAACAGTAAACTGTATGTACACATGTTAGTGTATGTTTTATTCTTTTTGCACCACCTGCACTGTTTGTTATATTTTTGACAAGATTGTTACAAATAAATAAAGTATCTAAAAAAAAAAAAAAAAGTAAAAAAAAAATAAAGCACTCTGATTGGCTGGCTTGTAAGCTAACCAATCAGAGTGCTATTATAAAGTCTTGAGCTCACTGTCTGAAAGTGCCAGCTGATCGTTATCTACCGAGCTCTCCTGTATCTATAAAGGAGGCAGGGAGTGGACCCCAGCAGAACTCAGGTAAGAAGTCAAACCATTCTAGAACAGTTTGACTTCTACAGTGGAGTGGCGCTAGGGCACTGCTGGTACCATAGCCACTATAGCACTTCTGTAATAGGAGTACTATTAATGGAAGTCTAAGTACTGGTGGCTGTTACAATGCACTTGAGTGCAAATAGTCCAAACAGCTTTCCTATGCCTAAATTCTGCTATGGCATACATTCAAAAATAATGTACAGATTCTGGAGCCGGATCCATGACCGAGCTCAGATGCAACCCTCTCATAAAGAACAACAGCCCCACAACAACACTGTGGAAGCATACCCCACACCCAAACTGGAGACTACTAAGAGAAATAGCTTGCACTCCCTTACGCTTTCTGTGGAGTGGGTGGGGGGTGCTGAGTTCCTCCATGCCTGCTCTTCTTCCGAGCCGGGGGCTCAAATGGAGGTAACCCCCCACCACCGTCCATATACCCAGAGGGCCGTCCGAAACCCGGAAAACCCATGGGCCCACGATCCTAAAGAAAGGATCGATGGACACCAGGCACGGGCTCCCACAAAGGCCTTGGGCCGAAGACATGGAAGATGGAGACCCCGCAGACCCATACCCGGCCGGCGGGAAACAGCACCTGACTCCCACAGACCCGATACACAGACGGGTGAGGGGAACACAAGAGCACCCTACCAGACATGGCGTGGACTACCACAAAGCCTGAGGGGACTGCCATACACAGGGATCGGCTGACAGCCGGCTTTGCCCTCAGGATGTCGACCCGATCAACTGAACTTAAGTGACATCATCAAACATCATCCGATATGCTTATTACTATGTTTTAGTTAGGCC